GTGGAGTCAGAGGGACTATAAAACCAGCTCTGGGAGGGGCGAAGGAGGAGTTCGTTAGGAGTTGGGTGGTTGGTTGGAGTGGGAGTGAATTGAGATAGAGTCTGTGGGTAGGTTGTGTTAGTGTAGCGCAATAAGTTGAGTCAGGAACAGTTGGGAGTTAGGAAGACAAGTAAATATCTGAGAGGTGGTTTAGTGAGTGAGAGCAGGTAGCGGAAGTTATAGGTCTGGATAGGCACCCCATGATTGTAATTGACTGATACCGTTTATGAAACCAAACAGAAGTTTACGTTCCAATTTAACCCTGACTGGACTCAGTATTGTACCAGGTAGGGCCTGGGTGGGGGCAGCGAGAAATAAAGTGGTGGCACAGGGATCAATAGATGGTGAAATGTCCGGGGACCCTGTGTGATCGCCACAAGGTCAACAACTGTGAAAGAAAGTGTTTCTCCTGTTTCCACACAGATTCTTCAAGTATATAAGTTTTAAACTTTAAACATATATCAGCCCTTTCCTAGCCAAGCACCCATTTCCTACTCTTGCTGGACTGGGAAGAATGTGAGAAAAGGAAAATACTGAGTTTGCTGATAAGGCTGAGATTGCTGATAAGGCTGCCACAGTAAATGAACAAATAATGCACAGAAAAAGGCCAAGTATAGCAATAAAAGCAAGCAGACAATAAAATGAAAATTAAAAATATACCTTTCTCCTGCAAAATCACATCTATTGTATAAGGGAACAAAGCTTCTCTTAAGACCAGTCAAGAAATGGTCCAGTAAACCTATCTCTATGCAAGCTTATTCCAAAGTCAATAGACTCTTCCGTGTAACACCACTTGGCATTTCAGAACATCTTGCTAAACACAAACCCTTTATCTCATTGCTGATCATTAGATGGAGATAATTGAAATACATTGCAGTTCCACTAAATAGCAGCTCAATGAACTAATTGTAGATTTCAACTCAGGCTAAAATGCGTTACAGCATTCCCCGAGATAGGATGATTTCTTGGTGGCCAGCAAAGTGAAGGGGCTATTTGCAGTGCTGGGAATAGTTAATTCTAGTCAGATGTAGAAAACGTGGGTGTCGCAGCAGCATGTAAAGAGAAATGGTTTTAAATCTTGCATTCATTCTCTGATATATTTAGGGCCTTGAAACGTATCACTCTGCCTTTAAAATCTGCAGGACAGGTTGACAGGGAGAGATTTGGGGAACGCAACTTCATCTCTCGTCATTCAAACACCATGACAGGTGAAGCTAAACTTGGAACACAGCTATCAAAGACTCAGACACTCTACTTAGTCATAATTGGCAGCTGTGTTGCAGCTTCACTGTGAAAATTCTGCTTTTTAAAGTAAGTGCTAGCCATGTCATTTTGATCCAAATTTTAATATGACATTTTATTTTATAATGTGTATTTTTTTTAAAGTGCTGGTTTTATTTTAGGGCAGGCATCCCCAACCTGCGGCCCTCCAGATGTTTTGGGCTACAATTCCCATCATCCCTGACCACTGGTCCTGTTAGCTAGGGATCATGGGAGTTGTAGGCCAAAACATCTGGAGGGCCGCAGGTTGGGGGTGCCTGTTTTAGGGGGTGGGGAATAGGCTAACTCTGTCCTTAGCATCTGGTTTGAATAAGTTATTGCAATGCATATTTCATGTAAACTGCTTAGAGGTTTCGATTGAGTGGTATATAAATCTTATTAAAAGAATTAAAAAAATGGTCTTTGGCATCCAACTAGCAAGGCAGACCTGAAGTCTGCATAGTTCAACTTCACGCTGCGTAGAGTCAAACCAGCAGTAAAACGAACTGAATATTCTGTTGGCTGCTGCTGCTCCTGCTTCAGCAGGCCTTCTAAATATTCAGATAATCCTTGCTTTGAAAGAGCTGTCTAGCCTTGCTCTTTGCTTTCTCCTGCTGCTCTGTGTTTCACAGCGCACTGAACTGAGTAAATCTGGCTCATAAGCAAAGAACGGGGCTGCTGCCACCTCCTGCGTCTGAGAGCTATCTCAAGGCACTCAGAAATACATTACTGTAGGTGGGAATAGAAGTCAGTTATCACAACTGCTTTAAAAAAATATATTATTTAATCATTTTTTCGATACAAACATCAACTGCAAAAGACACATACAACAAAAACCATAATAACAATAATAACACAATTTAACAGTTCAGATTTGAATACATTGATATACCTATGACTACACCTTTTTTTAAACAATATTTTCCCACCTCTCTCTCCTCCCCCTACTTCCCACCACTATCCGCCTTATCGCTTAAATATTCACTCCAGATTTCTTCATATTTATCCATTCTTATTTTGCGTTGACATACAATTCGTTTGTATGTAGCTAATCTGTCCATATTATCAATCCATGTGCTCAATGGAATCTTTTTGCTGCTCTTCCAATTCATTGATAGCATTCACAATGTTAGAAGATGAGCAATTAAATAGTCCTGAGATGGTATGTTTGATGTGGTTGGGCAAGTAATGGTGTTGTCTGGGTGTAAAAATGTGTCTTTCCTCCTCCCTAAATAAAAAAAGCTCAACAACTTTGACCTTAACCCCTAAAAAATGGGGGTAGATCATTGCCAGCTTTTAATTCTGTAAGTAGATCGCAGTCTCTTTGGAGTTGGCCACCCCTGAGATAGAGGACTGGAATCTAGTAGTCCTTCAGACAGAAAACTGTTTTCCCTAAAGTAGGACACAGAGATAAGTAGAGCCAATCCAGAGGTGCGAAACCTTTCTTTCTGTGCCTCGGAACTCTCACCAGGCTACAGCTCTCACCCAACTTGTTTCGCACACCCCTTGGGTGTTTTTGGTTGGCTGGAATGTCTCTCTGAACCCTTACAATGCTTCCTGATTGCCTGGCTCAAGGACAGAGAAGGGTGCATGAGTGTGTACAGAAACTAGCCTTGCAAAATGGCTAAAATGACTGGAAGAATCAGAAAGAGCAAAATTTTAATAAGGAATGGGGGAAATTTTATAACTTATCTTAAAGACCATTGTCAGCAGTTAAAACCATTAGTGGGGTTGGAATATCACTTGTAGTTTAATGGTGAATTTTGGATACAATGGAGAGATAAAAGATTTGGATTATTATAAAAGATCTAGGAGGAAATGATTAACAGTAGGACCCACAAAGGGGAGGAGGGAAGTCCAGGAGAGTCCCTGGAATCTTGTTTTATTGTTGTATGTTGGACATGTGACTGCAAAATTTTAATCTGAAAAACCAAATAAATAAATTTCGAAAGAAAGAAAGAAAGAAAGAAAGAAAGAAAGAAAGAAAGAAAGACTAGCCTGCTGTACAAAGTTAGTTGCTGTGCCCACTTTTGGATCTGGGCCTGTCCACCACTAAAAAGCCCTTCCCCCCCCTGAAATGTGGTCCTCTAGCTGTCAATAGTTCCCCCACACCTGAGGTAACCCTCCTATGAACAAACATATAAGCTTAGATTGCCTAGTGTAGAATCCTGCTGGAATTGTTATCCTTGCCATAAATGGTGCAATACGTTTACTGGGTTGGGGTGAGCAAGTTCCTTCACTTCCCTGTAGATCATGGAACTATGAGTCATTCTTCAGTCTTCCCCACAGACCCTCCCGCCACTGCCACCGCCGCCGCCTCTCCAGTTACTGTTAGCTTTTTAGCCTCGGCTCTGTTTCCATCTGCCTGCGTGGAATCAGCGTAAAAGGAATTTATAAGATGCCATATTCGGTGAGCTGATGGTAAATTGCAACACTGCAGCAGGAATCCTTTCCAGCAACTTCAAAATGTGTCACAGCCTAAACATCTGTAATCCAAAGAGTGTCTAGCTGTGATATTTATAAATCAGTTCAAAAGCTAAAGGGCAGCCAGTAAAGGAGGGAAGCAAAGTTCCTAAACTCAGAGCTGCCTTTTCTCATTATAAATTGAAATAATCATTTTTGCCCCTTCTAATTATGCATTTGCTTTGTGGTTGGGCCTCCTGACACGCAAAACCTGTTGTAAATCTCTAGTGAATTGTCATTCCCAGATAGGTTAACACAAAACCCATCTTCTGCAGAGAACTCTTTAACAATAAATTCTGCAAGGGAAGCATTAAAGAGGGAAGGAATGGGGGAACCTTTAAAACTTTAATTTCCAGTTCATAAAATATCCCTCTGTGTGATTCTAGTTTCTATTTTTTATTTCCTCTGGTATGAAGAGACCAATGATTTGAGGAAATGACTGAATGGGGCGCTTTGGATACATTATGGTGCAGTTTTTTGTGTGTTTGAAAATGCTGGGGGGAAATAAGAGTTTGGAGGAACTGAAATATTTTTGCTTCTTATGTCCTGGTTTCTACATGTGCCCTAAGACAGAGAACAGTCATACTGCGAGTAAATTCTTACAATTACACCAGAAACCACTATTCAATTGGGTAATGCTTGCAGGATTGATCCTAAAACATCATTTGGAGAAACTACATTTCTTCTTTGTGGAGAAGAGATATTTAGAGCTATGGAGGAATCATATAGATGAAGTATCCACTTATGAGGAATTATCCCCATAGGTATAGGAAAAGGTAAAGGTAAAGGACCTATTCATCTACTTGCATTGGCATGCTTTCTAACTACTAGGTTGGCAGGAGCTGGTACAGAGCAATGGGAGCTCACTCCGTCGTGGGGATTCGAACCGCCGACCTTCTGATCAGCAAGCCCAAGAGGCTCAGTGGTTTAGACCACAGCGCCGCCCACGCCCCTCCCCCATAGGTATATGCTATGGCTTTTAAGACTGATTCGCCTGGGAGATGTGACTTCAAGAACAACTTGCACACTGATGGTGCAAAATGAGATTTTGAGTACCTCACCTTGTGCAGAAGCCTGGTGGAGGGAAGGGGTTAAATCAACCTCCTAAACCTTTGTCATTGATTTCTGTGAAAACCGGATTCAGCTGTGCAACTGTTCATCTAGTTCGTCATTTTACCTGGAGAAAGGAAGTCTTCATTTTACCTGGAGGCAGGCTGCATGCTTTTACCCAGTTACTGTCACTCACGGTTGCACTGCATCAGAGATTAAAACATCAACAGAATGAAAGTGGTATAGTATGAAAGAATTAGTTTGAGATGAGCGAACTTGCTCAGTACAAATTCCATGAAATAAGCTGACCTGCCAGCTTAAGCTGGAGTGGATTTTTCCGTGGAGTTTGAAGTCTGAGTAGCTCCTACAATGGGAATCCATCAGGTCTCTCGAGTCTCACAAATCTTGCCAGGAGCTTTTAAACCTAGAAGCCTCAACAGTGAATGCGGGGCAGGGTGTGAGTGAAAGAAGAAAAGGAAATTGTTTCATCCCTATCTGAGGCACCATTGTCAGTTTTCGTTATAAGAACTTGTTCTGTCAAATCCATGCCACTTCCACACCCGTCTATCATACAAATCTAAGAGCCATGTGGTAGAAAGTATACTGAGGTAAAACTAGCATACATATAACTGTATGCTAGATATTGGCGGAGAAATGTTACGATATGTGTGAAACATTCCCCAGATGTTAGCAGAAGGGCACCAATGTTTTAAGTCACAATTTCCTGTATCCCATGAGAGCGAGCTATAAAGCTCAGCTCCAACAGCATCTCTCAGTGGCATGAGTGATCTGGGTCTGATATGTACTGAGTTGAATAGGATCCAAAATGCAGCAGTCTGATTGGTCCTAGAACAATAGGATTCAGAATGCAGCAGTCTGATTGGTCCTAGAACAATAGGATCCAGAATACAGCAGTCTGATTGGTCCTAGAACAATAGGATCCAGAATGCAACAGTCTGATTGGTTCTAGAACAATAGGATTCAGAATGCAGCAGTCTGATTGGTCTGCAGGAGCCACCCAATCCAGCTCCAGGTGGAAGTGAATCCGCAACCTGATTGGCCTACAGGAGAATCCCAGAATTAGCCAATCATGTGGGCCCCATTGTGTAAATAATGTATATAAAGCAGACATTTCGGGGGAACTGGCATTCCTCACTACTATGAGCTGAATAAAGAGCATAAAATCCACACTTGACTCCGAGTATATTTCAGAGTCCAACAAGCCCTTCCAGGCAAGGGGCTCCATGTCAGGGACCGTCCTGAGGAGGGCTGAACTGAGGAGGAATGGTGGGAGCCACCCCCTCCCCCTGATCCTGATCCTGAATCTTCCCAGGAGCAGGAGGGCAGTATAGATTTTGAACAGCGGTTTGCAGAGGGACATAGTTCAGAAGGCAGAAGCTGGGAAATACTGGGTGGGGAACAGCCAGGAGAAGAAACACTGGAAGAGAGAGAGTGAACAGATTCACAGTTTCTGGATAGTATTCATCCCCCCTTCTCCAAAGTCACGGAGAGCTCAGAAAGCGTCAGAACAGAAAGCACAGAGGCTATAAACTCAGATTGCAAGACGTTGGAGTGACGTAGATTAAGAGGGACGGGGTGGATGACCCTTAACTGGGAGCACTGCCATTTCTAGGAGATGTGTTCTTTGTTCTCTCGCTGTGATTATTAAAGATTCTAACTGGTAAGAGGTTCCTTTTGTTTGATCTTCTTATCTACTGCCACGGGAGGAGAAAGCTGATTCCTCAAAGCCTGACACTCCAAGAGGTTCCATCACTGATAAGGGCTTCCCTGCTCTTTCTTATGGGAGATGCAGCTTTTTGTGTAGAAAAAAGTTATGCACTGCTCAGTTCGTCCATAAAACTGAATGGGAAAGTTTGTCAGTTTGTAGGCACTCATACAACATGATAATCCAGGTGGAATGTCCAAGGGGACAATCCTAGGTCTTCGCGTCCTTCTCTGCATTAGGTCATATAACTGATACAATGTTTTAAAACTTTCATTCTCATCTGGCATCAGTGATGTGCTCCTGAATTAATGGCTTTTCAAGGTGAAGGGCAACCTGTCTGTTCTCTCCTTCCTGGCATCAAGCCGCAACCAGAGAAAACCTGTCATATCACTTAAAAGCCACTGTATATTAAATTGAAGCAGTGCTCCGGGGAATCTCACATGCCCCTCTTAGCTGTCGAAAAACGGAGGCTTGCATTTTTCAACAGGAGAGTTGGATCGCTCGGGCTTTATTCCCAGTTACGACAGGCTGGGGGGCACACTGGCGGAGGAAGAGGGGTGTAGGGGGGAGCGCATCGCCCCCGGCAGTGCGATCCCGGTGGGGTGCCATGGCAGCTGCCCCCGCCCACGCTGGGTGCCACACCCCCAGGACATGCGCCAGCCATGCCCCCACCTGCTCTCCGCCCCCCAGTGCTGGAGCATGAAGATCCGCCACTGGGTGGTCAACAGCACCTACTGGACACTTGAACTGATCCAAATGTTTTCAAAAGCAGCGCCGGGTCCTTCTTTTTCAGGTTGCTTGTGGAAACGCAATGGGGTACTTTCCATTTCAAAAGACGTGATTCGGATAGCCCCTTTTCTGCACGTGTGGGAAGGAGCAGAATTGCACTTGTTAGTCACACTGCTCCCCCCCCCTTACACACAATGGCCAAGCCCCTTACAGCTGATGTATGTGGCATTGGCATGAAGGTGCCAGATGTCAAAGAGAAAAACAACTACCAGACTTGTCTTCTAAAATCTGAAGGCAGCCCTGTTTAGGGAAGCTTTTAATGTTTGATAGACTATTGTATTTTAATATTTTGTTGGAAGCTGCCCAGAGTGGCTGGGGAAAGCCAGTCAGGTGGGTGGGGTATAAATAATAAATTATTATTATTATTATTATTATTATTATTATTATTATTATTATTTATTATACACATACCTATACAGTGGTACCTCAGGTTACAGACGCTTCAGGTTGCAGAGTCCGCTAACCGAGAAATAGTACCTTGGGTTAAGAACTTTGCTTCAGGATGAGAACAGAAATCGTGCGGCGGCAGCGGGAGGCCTCATTAGCTAAAGTGGTGTCTCAGGTTAAGAACAGTTTCAGGTTAAGAACGGACCTCCGGAACTAATTAAGTTCTTATCTCGAGGTACCACTGTATCTGGTATGCAGGGGCTTCTCCCCACAAACAGGAAGCTTGGGTAACTGGAGAAGCCCTTCTGCGCATGCATCTCTATGTACATAGGGCCACTTCCCCACTGATGCTGAATGTGTGCCCAGCAGGGAGCTAGTGCAGAGCTAGTAGAGTGCATGGCTTTTGGGAGGGGGCTGGAAGGCAGGTGTCAGAGACATGGCCAGCAGAGAGGACTCTGCAGAGCGGGAGGAAGAGGCAGAGGAAAACAGGAATTTGATTCGTTCACACAAAGCAAGTGAGATAAGCCCTTCTCACTCTGGATGGCTGCCTGTAAGTTTTCCCAGCAGCACAGAGATGAAGGAGCAGGAGGCAGGTGGTAGGAGGGGGTTGGACTCAACTCCAGAGGAGGAGGAATTGGCTGCACCTGAGTCTCCAAGAAGAAGGTGGCGGGGCAAGCGATTAGAACAAAGGAAGACCAGCAGGAAACGGGGGTGGGCTTGGCATGTATCTGACCTTGGAAGGGGCCGGAAGCCGGTTGAGTCAACTGACTCCGACAGTGCGGAATGAGTTGTGGGAAGCTCGGATTGCTGTAAACCTGTTGTCGATAACTAAACCTCAACTAGTCAAACTGGTCCCATCACCTCCTGGCAAATAGAAGGGGAAGAAATGGAGACAGTGAGAGATTTTTACTTTCTTGGGCTCCACGATCACTGCAGATGGTGACAGCAGTAACGAAATTAAAAGATGCCTGCTTCATGGGAGAAAAGCAATGACAAACCTAGACAGCTTCTTAAAAAGCAGAGACATAACCTTGCCGACAAAGGTCCGTATAGTTAAAGCTATGTTTTTCCCAGTAGTGATGTATGGAAGTAAGAGCTGGACCATCAAGAAGGCTGATTGCCGAAGAATTGATGCTTATGAATTATGGTGCTGGAGGAGACTCTTGAGAGTCCCATGGACTGCAAGAAGATCAAACCTATCCATTCTAAAGGAAATCAGCCCTGAGTGCTCACTGGAAGGACAGATCCTGAAGCTGAGGCTCCAATACTTTGGTCACCTCATGAGAAGAGAAGACTCCCTGGAAAAGACCCTGAAGTTGGGAAAGATGGAGGGCACAAGTAGAAGAGGACGAGATGGTTGGCCATCAAAAGCTACTAACATGAGTTTGACCAAGCTGCGGGAGGCAGTGGAAGACAGGCGTGCCTGGCGTGCTCTGGTCCATGGGGTCACGAAGAGTCGGACACGACTGAACGAATAAACAACAACAAAGTCAAACTGCCAGCATGTTGTTTCTTATGTGAGAGAAGTGCTAAACCTGACAGCATGATATCACTGTCTCCTCCTGCATTAAAGCAGCACATGGCACAGTCCTGAGTGAGAGCCACTAAGGAGTCACTTGTATCATGACTGCCTTGTTTGCTCCAGACATTTTAAAGGAATTATTAGAAACATTATTAAGTGCTCTTTCATTCATTAATATATGCTTAGGTACATTGGCAATTTCACCAAGAGACATGTCACTTGGGATGTGGTAGACCCTCCTTCCTCGGAGGTTTTGAAGCAAAGGTTGGGTGGCCATCTGTTATGGTCACTTTTTAGTTGAGATTCCTGCATTGCAGTGGGTTGGACTAAATGACCCTTGGGGTCCCTTCCAACTCAATGATTCTATGGCCATTTTTTTTACATGACTTGCCATCAGTTCTGCCAGAAGATGATGAGCTTAGTTAAGGCAATGTAGGCTGCTCAAATTAGAACCAGATAGACTAAGGTTACCAGACATCCCCGTTTCCCAGGGACAGTCCCCAGATTTACACTTCAGTTCCCATACAAAATCCATTGAAGTTGTCCGCAGATTCACTGAAAAAAATCTGGTAAACTTAAGATAGACCACAACCAACCAGGAATACCTGCTCAGCTCCTCTCAGCGTGTTCTTGTGTCCTTAAGAGATGCTGTCCTTTGGCATCCACAAATCCTCACCAGGGAGGACCCCATGGGCAGCTGTTCTATGACAGAAGAGCAACAGAAGTTTAAATTAAGTCTGCTGCAACTGGATTTCTTATGGACAGGGCCAATCCTGAATGTGTTGGATTTGTGACCATTATGCTCATTTGCCTTCAGTAGCAGTAAAGCTCTGCTGGATGAAATATAACTGGCTCTGGTCTATTTTGAGGGAGTCCTGCAACGTGTTTATGTTTTTACTCTGCTAACTATACATTGGAGTTCTGTTCTGGAACAATATTGAGTAGAATTTCATGACAGGGCCTTCATAAGGAGCATGGGAATTTGGCCCTCAAGTGGAAAACATTCCTCACCCCTGCTATCGATTGACTCGGTCTGATCAAAGTGAAAAGGGGGGGAGGGAGACCAAGATAGAGGAAGACCACTTTTCCTTATCTGTTGTTGTTTAGTCATTTAGTCGTGTCCGACTCTTCGTAACCCCATGGACCAGAGCACGCCAGGCACTTCTGTCCTCCACTGCCTCCCGCAGTTTGGTCAAACTCACGCTGGTAGCTTCAAGAACGCCATCCAACCATCTCGTCCTCTGTCGTCCCCTTCTCCTTGTGCCCTCCATCTTTCCCAACATCAGGTTCTTTTTTCCTTATCTATGCATCCTCATTTTTGTTGCCCTTATGATGATGGCAGTCTTATTGTAAAAGTAATACATAATTACACAGGGATACTAAAAATAACCCGTGTATTTCTGAGTTCATCCTTTGGGACTCAGCTCATCTGGGACCGGCTTTTGCCATCTACATTTTGCTAATTGACTTTGCTTATTTAGAAGCAATCAGGTCAGATAAAACTTCAATTTGGCTCCTGGAATCTTGATGGTGGCAGAGGGAGTCTGAAAGTAAATAAAGAAGCAGTAAAAGCCTTGGATTTAAAAGGACACAAATGTGAAATCAATGAGATGGAAAGAGGCAAGCCACCAGCATCAGGGTTCCAATTAGACTTTCCAGAGCCTCTTAAAATCAAGCCCATTCATTCTTCCCTTTCTGAAACTACTCCTGAGTGATTATGTCAGATGCTGTCAGAAAAATACCTTGGGGGTGGGGAAAATCTGCAATTGCTATTTGTCTCAAAGATGCTTCATGCCACTCAAGGCTACAATTCTAACCCCATTTACCTAGGGGTAAGACCCACTGAATTCAACAGGACTTATTCTTTGAGGAGGCGTTAATGAGGGTGAATGAGGGTGAAAGAGGAGGGCGCAAAATATGGTCTGAAGCTCAACATCAAAAAAACGAAGATCATGGCCACTGGGCCCATCACCTCTTGGCAAATAGAAGGGGAAGAAATGGAGGCAGTGAGAGATTTTACTTTCTTGGGCTCCATGATCACTGTAGATGGTGACAGCAGCCACGAAATTAAAAGACGCCTGCTCCTTGGGAGAAAGGCGATGGCAAACCTAGACAGCATCTTAAAAAGCAGAGACATCGCCTTGCCAACAAAGGTCCGTATAGTTAAAGCCATGGTTTTCCCGGTAGTAATGTATGGAAGTGAGAGCTGGACCATAAAGAAGGCTGATCGCCAAAGAATTGATGCTTTTGAATTATGGTGCTGGAGGAGACTCTTGAGAGTCCCATGGACTGCAAGAAGATCAAACGCATCCATTCTTAAGGAAATTAGCCCTGAGTGCTCACTGGAAGGACAGATCCTGAAGCTGAGGCTCCAATATTTTGGCCACCTCATGAGAAGAGAGGTTGGGAAAGATTGAGGGCACAAGGAGAAGGGGAAGACCGAGGACAAGATGGTTGGACAGTGTTCTCGAAGCTACCAGCATGAGTCTGACAAAACTGCGGGAGGCAGTGGAAGACAGAAGTGCCTGGTGTGCTCTGGTCCATGGGGTCATGAAGAGTCGGACACGACTAAACGACTAAACAACAACTAGACCCACTGAATTCAACAGGACTTACTTCTTTGAGGAGGCGTTTGTGCAGAAAATTAGGAAATAGATTTCTCAGCATCAGTCACACTTGCGTTGAAATGGAACTATTCCAATGCCAACGCAAACTCTCGGTGGTGCTTATCTTTTATAGAAACCCTTAAAAGATTTTATATTGATTCCTGAAAGAGTCAGTTTTCTTTTAGCATATTTTAAAAATGCATAATATTTTTATAGCATCCTTTAAAGATGGTTCTCGTGAGAGTTCAGCCCATGAAAATAGAACAAATGGGTGGGAGAATGGCAGTTCTGGTCTTTTAATTTATGAAGATGACTTTGTTACCTTACCTGTATGTGCACAATAAAGATGCCCATAGTTGCACCTGCATGCAGAATCTCACAGCAATCCAACTGTTTTAAAAATGTAAATAGCCCCCCTCAAAAAGAATAGGATGGTCACTCTGGATTGTGTATCATCTCACAGGAATCTTGATTGCTATAGGGTTTGAACCTCATTATTCCAGTCCTTCACAAAACAAACGTAGCAAAGGATTCTGTCAGATGGTGTTGCATAGAAACTGGTGACAACTTTGCAAACAGGCATGTCAAAATGGCAGTCATGGTGCTATTGGAATTTAAATTGTCAAGCTGGGCAGATGGAGCTAGACAAACATATGGAGCGCCACAGCCCACAAGATAGGCCTACTTGTGGATTCGGACTTCATCACTGAATGAGAACCAAAACCCACTGCCTCAACAGTTGGCCAAGCTCCCATTAGCCCAACCTCTTGAAGCCACACTTTCAGATCTCCTCCACTTCTGGTGGTACACTGGTGTAACTGATTATGGTAGCATAAGGGGCATATTGGCCAAGAAGATCTAAAGCTCCATAAGCTTCAACTGTACACCTCTATATTTGCAAGGGCCAACTAGCTCTCTTCATATTATCTTCCATCCTTTTGGCTTGCATGAAGCATTCCCAGACACTGACAATGGGTGCCACTGATTACCTGCAGTTTTCTGTTCTGCAGGAGCCCCTCCTTTTGTACTGGGAAGCTGGATTACAGTCATTATGTATACAAGTCTGTTCTTTGTGGCTGACTCTTCTAGACAGGATGATTCAGCTTCCAAGTGGTTAGAAGCAACTGAACAATAATTGAAAACACTGATTTCATTAAAGCTACCTTTGTCAACTCGCTGAAATGACATTCAATGCCTCCATTATAAACAGAGCTTGAATTGGCTTGTGAGTTATGACAGCTTCTAATTGCCCCAGGCTCATTGTGTTAGCAGTGTACAAACATATAATGAAGACGCCATCCTTCAGCCAAAGACAATGCTCTGCATATTCTTGAATCTTTGTCTCGAAAGGTGTCTAAAATGTGTATTTTCCCGCATTTCTCAGTACATTTATCTCCACCCTGTCTGCTCCCCTGGTGAATTTTCAGAGCTCTGTGTTCTAGTAGCCATCTTCCATTATAACAAACTTTACCCGCCTCCAGACATCTTTACTGAAAGTTCAAAAAGTACATAATTATATATGCACTAAACATGATGCGATGTAAATAAAAGAGAGAGAAAGGAAAAGAGAAACAGCACCTGTATAGAAGGGAAAATAAAGGGGGGACGACCCAAAACTGTATAGTTTACAAAGTTGTTGTTGTACTTCACCAGATCTTCATCTATTGCACTGTTTGTAAGAATGGATTCCAAATATCATTGAATTCATCCATGGCAAGTCTGTGTTTATATGCAAGTTGTTCGTATGTTGCAAGTTTGTACAGGTCTCCAATCCAATCATAGAAGGGAGACACATTTTTCTTTTTCCAATTCATCAGTATCAATCTTTTCCCATAGTAACGAACTTGATGGATGTGGAAGAAGGTGAGAACTCAGTTAGTGGATTCACAGCTCCAAAAACGCAACATTGATTAAATGGTAAACATTATTCATTTAATTCAATCCCACATGAAGTTTGTAAGAGGGGGCAGTTGATGGCGAAAAAGGAGAATGATCAGACCCTAAAGCTGCTTTGGTTCATTCTGTAGTCTAAAGACCTGCTTCCCATGTTTCTGTAATGGTATCTTAAGCTACTGTTTCCATCACCTGACTTTTCACTCTTCCATAGATGTATAACACCATACACTTGAACATCTGTAAAGCAACATAAAAGGTGTCTGAAATCACGATAGAAGTGAATTGGAGTGCATGTCAAACTTTCCTGCCTGAATCATGCAAATTTGGCAATTTAGCAAAACAAATGGATTGGATTTGGTTTCTACTCCTCCTCTCTCAAACAGCTGCCTATTAGAAAATGTAAACATGTAATGACAAGTATCAATAATTTATCCGGAAATATCAAATAGTCTGAAAATGTATGGGCTCTGGACTTGTTTGTTTAGGGCATTTTGGCTTCATAGATGGACCGTGGGGATTTTAAGAGGTCCTAGTTTGACACTCCACAAGGGAGCCTAATCTCTTAAGAAAGATTTTTTCCAGAATGCAGCCTGTCTGTACACTGATTCTGAAAACTGTATGTACAACCTAGCATTGTGGCCATCACTCTATGAAAATGCAGTTCACCCACGTGGAACAGTTGTAAGATTGCCTGGAGATGGCTCCCACCCCCTCACAAATTAAAAGAGAATGTAATTTCTACTTGGCAGGCAAGCTGTCAAGAAAATGCATTAAGGTTCCTATAGTACTTTGAATGCCTAGTTAAATGTTCTGTAACATTAGCATTATTTTAATTTCTTGGCCGTACATCACCCTAAGGTCCCAGTGCAGGTTACAACATTTAAACACAATGTTTAAAACAGTTTAAAACAACTTATAATCACAAAAGCAAGGTGGGCCAAAAAAACCCAGGCATCTCAGGTGTCAAAATGTATTACTGATAAAGCAGCATATTTTCTGTTGCATACTAACAAGTGTCTTTAAAAAGCCAGATGGAGACAAAAAATATGAACCACGATCCTGCATGCTGTTAAACTGGTGGGGGCAGCACAATTCTATACATGCCTACTCAGAGGCAAGCCTCAAGGAATTCTATGGAACTGACTCCCAGGTAAGCGTGTGAAGAATTGGAGCCCAGGAATTCATGCAGAATTGCAGGCACATTTCATTTCATCTCATCTCTGAGAAACACCTAATCATTGTTGTTGTTGTTGTTGTTTAGTCGTTTAGTCGTGTCCGACTCTTCGTGACCCCATGGACCAGAGCACGCCAGGCACTTCTGTCTTCCACTGCCTCCCACAGCTTGGTCAAACTCATGCTGGTGGCTTCAAGAACACCATCCAACCATCTCGTCCTCTGTCGTCCCCTTCTCCTTGCCTGTTGTCTTTGTCCATGGAGTTTTCTTGGCAGGGATACTGGAGTGGCTTGCCAGCTCCTCCTCCAGGTGGATCACATTTGGTCAAAACTCTCCACTATGACCTGTCCATCTTGGGTGCCCTGCACGGCATAGTTCATAGCTTCTCTGAGTTATTCAAGCCCCTTCGTCATGGCAAGGCAGTGATCCATGAAGTGGATGAATAATATATGCATAATCATATATTATTATTATTATTTTGGATGAGCTTATTACTGCTGCTCTAGGAAAATGCTTTTGCATTCATCTCTTTGAGCTGCCCAGAGAACATATGTTATCGGACAGCCATAAGGGAGAGGAAATGCAATTAATAAATTAAATAAATACATAGGTTCTGCAAGGGAGGTCTGCAGGCTAACATGAAAGGAAGAATAAAATTACGGAGCCCAAAGCGAAGAAAACAAGAAGATTATTGCTTGTTCACGCCAAGGGCCCATCTAGTCCAGTATTCTGTTCTCACAGCCAGGTGCCTCGGGGAAGCCTGACAGCCGTACATGGGTACAACAGCACTCTGCCACACCTGTGAATCCTGGCAACTGGGGCTCAGAGGCATACTGTGACTCAACCAGGGTATAAAGACACCATTGTTTCAAGTGAGGCGACTGAAAGATGAACAACTGTTCTAGCTTGAGAAGAGATAATCCCTGGAACGCATCCTAGTGCTATTTCCAGCATGACAAACGAATCTTGGGTGACAGAAAAATATGCATAACAGTGCAGGATAGCCCTAAGGTTGAAGATCCAGTTGCGCAACTACTCCGAGGTGCATAATATTTTGGTTTTTTAAAAAATAAAATAAATGTATTGTAATCGCAGCATAGGGACGCGGGTGGCGCTGTGGGTTAAACCACAGAGCCTAGGACTTGCTGATCAGAAGGTCGGCAGTTCGAATCCCCGCGACGGGGTGAGCTCCCATTGCTCGGTCCCTGCTCCTGCCAACCTAGCAGTTCGAAAGCACGTCAAAGTGCAAGTAGATAAATAGGTACCGCTCCGGTGGGAAGGTAAACAACATTTTCGTGCCCTGCTCTGGTTCACCAGAAGTGGCTTGGTCATGCTGGCCACATGACCCAGAAGCTGTACGCCAGCTCCCTCGGCCAATAAAGCGAGATGAGCGCCGCAACCCCAGAGCTGGTCACTAGTAGACCTAATGGTCAGGGGTCCCTTTACCTTTACCTTTAATCGCAGCATACAGACAAGCCAGTCAGTACCCAGGCCCCTCAAATGTAGAATAGGGGAAGCAACTGTCCTGGTAGCATGTTTTCATTGCCATCAGTCCATTGGTTTCCTCCAGGACCAACATGATCTGTGATTGGCGACGCACTGGCAGTGGTTCTATAGACACTGAAGTGTGGATCTCACTGTTGTTGCAATGAACATTGTGTTGTCCCTCTCCTGTCCTAGTATGGGTAAGAATAGGATTTGGTGGCCATTGTATGGGCAAGTTGGCAGCCTATTTCTGTCCCCATCCACACACACACACACACACACACACACACACACAGGATTGCTTGGCTAGCACAACATTAAAATCTCCCCCTTTTTTCCTTTTCTCAGTTGACAATCTAAGCATTATTAGGATCAGGTAGTTCAAAGACATACTTTAAGTGTTTGAAAGACCAGGTGATCCAATAAAATATGCCTTCTCGATTTCCCTTGCCTTTCTCGCAATGCTTTTAATTGCTAGTAGGCATTGTGAGCATCTCATTGTAAAGATCCGGTTAAGAAAAAGGAAGGGAAACTAACATTAAAATGTAAGACGCAAATCATGTACTAATGCTCTGTGTCTAATCCCCCCTTTTGCAAATTCTGGAATCACTTTTAAATAATATTTGGTTCATGTAATACTGATGAAGTTAATATATGTATCCTCATTTGAATAATCTCTGCTTCTTATTTAAACAATGCTCAAAGCTGCTCATTCTTCTTTGGGGTGATATTCAGCTCTGCAGAAATCTTGGGAGAAGAAATGCCATATTCTGTTTCTACTTTTGCTTGGTTTACAAATGTCATGGAGGTTAAGCGATGGTGCCAGAATTTGTAATTACCTGGTTCAGCCGAGCACTCGTACTTCTTTAATCTTTAGAAATAAATCCAACTTGTATTGCCCAGAGTAAAGCATTTCAAATATCAATAATGAAATCAATAAATAAACAATAAGAGCCAACAGATAATTTCAAAGAGGAGGGCCAGTCAGTCACTGGAACTGGTATATTCAGCAATCAAAAGCTAACCTGAGGGTCAAAGTAGATATGACAGTTAATTGCATGAATGCCATTAATATGCATATTTTTGTTGAGTAAATAAGAAGACCGAATTCCACTGGAATAATGAGGGTGGGAAGTGCAAGCTTAACTCTTTCTCTCCCTGGCAGGGTTCTAATAAAAAAATTGTACACATTACAAGGAGAGTCTTCATCAGTGCTGCCAATGGACATGTTGCCTGAAGCGAAGTAGCAGTTTGGGTCAGCTGCTGGAAGAGATCATCATCTCCCATGGTCCTGATGCTGCTTAGGTGTCTCTGTGGCTGCCATTTACAGAACAAAAAAATGTGCACATTGTGTTGACATCTCTGGCTGTGTACACGCTACATCTTTAAAACACATTCAAAGCACGTTCTTTCCCTCACCGTAGTTTACCCCTCATGGAGTCACAGTTCCTGGCAACCCATAGCAAACTGCTTCTAACACACATTAAAGGTGGAATTTGTGCCTAGCCATAGAAGGCGCTTGCAATCACCGGTTACTGCTGGATCGCAGTGCCATTTCCCCAAGAAGTTCCTGCTTGATTTCCAGAGGCAGCCCCAACCCACATGCTGAAAACATATAATCAGTGCTTTCAAATCTGTCAGGGCAAATTACCTCTGCAGTGCTGAATATTTGCTTCTTGTTCCATTTCTTGGAGCTCTGTGTGGAAACCTTTGTGTTAAATCCAATTGTCCACTGCTAAGAAATCAGAGTCGTCATGTACTTTTATGAATGCTCTTCCCAATCCAGTGAAGGGTACGTGTGCAGATAGGGCTCTGACTTGATCAGTTTGCTGCTGCTTCTTCTTTGGTGATCACGTTAGCCAAGTAAGATTGTCTTCCATGAACACGGTTTTAACACTGAGTCTGTAAGTGACTGTGGAGGCCAATTCTGGATCCACACATCCTTCCACAGTGGGGACATAGGTTTCCGGGTGGGAGTTGAATACGTAGAGGGTTTGCCAAGCATGCTTTGCATGTTTCTCCCTTTAGTCCTGAGTTCCAGCGTCTTTGAAATCCATTGCACTTTTGGTCAAGGCTGTTCTCCAATTGAAGTGCTCGCAGGCCAGTGCTTCCCTGTTGTCAGTGTTTATACTACATTTTTTAAGATTTACCTTGAAAGAGTCCTTAAACCTCTTTTGTTGATCAGTGTGGAGGTAGTCTGAAAAGCGTGTTCTCCTTCATGGAGAGCACATGTTGCGGTGGGGTCTAACAGGACACCCTCTCTTGGTTACTGGGCAGGACCGTTTGGATGGCCATGACTGTGATTGGGTCAATTTGGGTTGTTGGGGAGATTTTGATGTTACCATTTAGAGGGTTGGCCCAAAGGTTATATATTCTTGGCACGCAGCTTTTTTCAGTCTCTTTTGCTGCATGTATCGGATCGCCCGCCCACCTTCCCTAATTTAGGGCTGTTGCGTTTGACATTGCTATGCCTGTCATGGGGTCGTCTGCTTTTGGGGCAGGGGCCTGGTAGGAATTTTGTCCATTTAGCAGATTGGCTGGTGCCATTTGGTTTTTGCATACTGCATAGCAAATCGTCACAACTTGTAAGGTTGCGGTTAGGCATTGGTTAAAATTTAGTTGGTGGAGAGGATGTGGTTGGCTGTGCCTGTCCCTCCAGTGCTGCTGCTGCAAGGGAATTCCATTAAAGGAATCCAGGGGTTTGCCATACATTTGTCTGTATCCCCGGCAAGGGGCTAGGGCCGTGCAAGCCTCTGGGAGCATGCGGGGAGAGGTGAGGGCCTGTGGCTCAGCTCCATTTCTCCCCAATATTGTTTTCCCTTACTGGCTTTCGTTGGAATCTGGAAGTCAGTTCTGTCCCCAGGCAGGAGGACAGATAGTCATAACCAATGCCTAAGCAGCCACACACATTTATGTATTTAAATAAAGTTGTGGCCCAAATTATGCCAAAAACCTTTAACAAAAATTCTGTGCGAATTGTGATTTATTTGGGGTGTGGCTTGGGGACCTCGACACGCAACACCTTTCTTTCAGGGAAGAACAGGCTGACAGGCGTTTCTCTCTTTAATAAACAGCAGTTGCCACTACATTTTTAGTTATTCCAAATCTGCACATGTGGGATCTAGATCAGTGACATTCTTGAGGGGAGACAGGCCTTCCAAGGTCCTTTTAAATAAACGGGCAACTTCAGGTACAAGGATGTGTGAGCACAGAGGTGCCAGGTTGCCCCCCAAGGTTTAGGGGGCCCGGTGTGCATCACATCTGTGTGACATCACACGTGCAATGAATGTGCGACGTCATATCCTCTGGAGGAGGCCAAGCGCCCTGGCAGAGATGGGTGCTGAAGCTGTGACACGCAACATGCATTGTACATAATGGGTCCCCTCAGAATTGAGGGGGCTAGGCCTCCTTCAAACAAATCTTGAGGGGACTGAAGACTCTTTGGCTTGCCTGTGTGAGCAAGACCATTATCAGCAAAGTCCATTGCTCAACTCCAGGTTTCTAACTCATGTTTTTTAGTAAGGAAAACAAAATCAAGTTAAACTAGCAGGAGAAATCAGAACTGCATAAAAATACAATTAGCTACAGCTTCTAACTGACCTTATATGGAACATTTTCTAAGTTTCCCACTTGCAAACAGGACAGCATCCTTTGGGGTGGCTAACTAGTCATCTACCAGAAATTGCTGGACTGCAACTCTCACCATGTCTGACCATTGACTATGTTGGCTGGAGCTAATGGAACCTGGAGAGCAGCAACATCTAGATATAATAATAATAATAATAATAATAATAATAATAATAATAATAATTTATTTATACCCCACCCATCTGGCTGGGTTTCCCCAGCCACTCTGGGTGGCTTCCAAAAAAGTATTAAAATACAGTGGTCTGTTAAACATTAAAAGCTTCCCTAAACAGGGCTGCCTTCAGATGTCTGGTAGTTGTTGTTCTCTTTGACATCTGGTGGGAGGGTGTTCCATAGGGCAGGTGCCACTACCGAGAAGGCCCTCTGCCTGGTTCCCTGTAACTTGGCTTCTCGCAGTGAGGGAACTGCCAGAAGGCCCTTGGTGCTGGACCTCAGTGTCCGGGCAGAATGACGGGGGTGGAGATGCTCCTTCAGGTATCCTGGACCGAGGCCATTTAGGGCTTTAAAGGTCAGCACCAACACTTTCAATTGTGCTCGGAAATGTAATGGGAGCCAATGTAGGTCTTTCAAAACCGGTGTTATGTGGTCTCGGCGGCCGCTCCCAGTTACCAGTCTAGATGCCGCATTCTGGATTAGTTGTAGTTTCCGGGTCACCTTCAAAGGTAGCCCATCATAGAGCGCATTGCAGTAATCCAAACAAGAAATAACTAGAGATATCTAGACAGAGGCAGGTAAGCTGCTCCTCACTTACATGGATAGTCAAATGGAATTCCAATGGCGGCTGAAGCAAGCAAATAAGCAACTATCATCAGGGCAGACAGAGACAAAAACAATATTTGGACTACCCTATTTTGTGGTGTGTTCCAGGAGAGGCAATGACTGATCGCAGGGGAGCAAGTATCCAGTCAAAAGGCAGCAAAATGGTGTCTGGGATGCCTACATATAGATTGTTTTTTGGACACATTTACCTTACTTTTCTACCAATTTAACTGCTATGCCGCAATTTCCCCCATAGGACTCTGGCAATTGTAGAATTCTTTGCCGGAAATCCCTAGAGAGACAGCCACACACCGCAAACTGCAATGGTCACATTGTGCTGGGGAAGGTGAAAAGAGCCCTTTTAGGTTTGCAGTGTAAGTTTGCCTTACAAGGTAAAAGCTGCATTTGAAAGTAGTTCAGGGATTCAGAAATCATCAATGAAAAAAATGAGCCTTGATATTCCAGGCAGCAGTCCAGAAGGAATTTGGATCCCGATGAAGTGAGGGAAATATCCACATTTCACACTGAAAACATTTGGGAGGCATGTCCAGTGGCTGGACAAATTTATCAAATCGGGAGATTGTTTTGCTCAAGATAAATAAGATCCAGTATATGTGGTAACCTCTGGAGCCAAACTAAAGCATAATCCTCTTCCAGAGGCAGAGCAGGATTTACATTTATTTTGTTCAATTGCGTTATGTACCAAGGACACTGGCTTATTTACTGAAATGTCAGTACAACTTATTGAGAAGTAGCCGCTGTAACACAAATTACTCCCTTTGGTAGAAGACACAGGAATCACCAGCAACACAAAGCGTTACTTAAATTGGACATCAGGTTGCAGTTTTCTCCTCTCATGTTTAAAGAATGAAAGCCTGGATTTTCAAGTTTGCAAAAGCTAACTCTAAAAAGCCCTTTACAGAGCAGTAACTTCCTGCTGAAATCCTGTACTTTTTATACCATACCACAAAAGTTCTGGGTGTTGGAAGGGAAGTTGTCCTGCTTTTGTTGTACTATAGTGCAAAAGTGCCCCTCCAGGTGTCGTATTATTGGGGCAGTGGCCTAGCGTTGGTTTCCAGAACCCAGGGCCGCCTGGAAGGTGGGGTGGGAGGAAGCAAAAGGGATGCACATGGGCATTCAACTGCCTAAGGAGTTGCAGCTGCAGAGATAAGAAAAGAAGAGTTGTTCCGATGTCTGGGGAGGTCACTTCCTGGTTCGCATGGAGAAGCCATTTTCAACAGAGCTCAGTGATGGAAGCACATAGCTGTATTCACCGGGTGTCAAAATGTTATGCCCCTAACAAATTTTGCACCCGGGGCAACTGCCCCTGTGCCCCCATCCTGCTATGCGACTGCACTGGGGAAGCACTGCAGAACAACAAATGAAGAACAATGATATGTGGACAGCCCAGAATAAAACTATCACTAACACACAATTATAGAATCACTGAGGTGTTGCAGAATATTCCCCACACAGAAAGTCAGTCAGGAAGGACCCTACAATTGCACTGTTAGAGCTGAAACTAAACCAGTAACTCTCTCTGTGTGTGTTGGTGTGGGAAATCATGCGGGTGGTGAAGGGACGCGGGTGGCGCTGTGGATTAAACCACTGAGCCTAGGGCTTGCCAATCAGAAGGTTGGCGGTTCAAATCCCCGTGATGGGGTGAGCTCCCATTGCTCAGTCCCAGCTCCTGCCAACCTAGCAGTTTGAAAGCACGTTAAAGTGCAAGTGGATAAATAGGTACCGCTCCGGCGGGAAGGTAAATGGCGTTTCCGTGCACTGCTCTGGTTTGCCAGAAGCAGCTCAGTCATGCTGGCCACATGACCCGGAAGCTGTACGCCGGCTCCCTCAGCCAATAAAGCGAGATGAGCGCTGCAACCCCAGAGTCAGCCACGACTGGACCTAATGGTCAGGGGTCCCTTTACCTTTACCTTACTGGGAGATGGTTTAAAGTCACAGGAAAGAGAAGGGAAGGGAAAGAGCACACACACACACACACACACACACACACACACAATGGCAGGAAATGAAAGAGTTAAACATTCCTTCCCACTCCTCTCCCCCATGGTGCTCTGGCTGGGGCACCTGCCATTTACATAACAAAAAATTCACATTAATTGCAGTTCCACAATTACAGCTTGGCCTTAAGTATGCATATCAAAAGTGCTGGAGATGTGAAAAATCTATTGAAAGGGCAAAAGTGGCAAGAACAGCTAGAAATTAATTTCTGAGAATTCAAAAGGCAGAATGGAATGCAATTAAGGCAATGCAAACTTAACATATGCAGTGAGAAAATGTTCCTGCACTTTGGGGCTGCAGATGAATGTTAGAGCCACAAGTGCTGAGGCTTCCAAATTTAGGTTGGCAAGGCTCAGATATATTTTAGGGTCCATAGTTAAGGAGGGAGCTGTAAATACAGCTATCTCCAATAATTCTAATGTACAGTCTTTGCCTGAAATGATGTAGACTTGTTTCAGGCGCTGGATTTTTATTTTATGGCTTGCTGCAGCAGCAAATAAATACTTAGGGTGGAACTCAGCAGCCCAAAAAATTCCTAATCGTAACGACATTGAAAGGTCACTTGACATCTTAGGTTTTAGGCACAAACTTTGTCTAGAAACTAGTGCCAGCCTCTGAAGCATGGATTACACTTTCCCATATAGGTAGATACGAAATAACTCTCTTTTTAGCTGGTTCTCTAGCATTTATTACAGTACAAGAATATAGGAAGCTGTCTTCCCCCTACACCATCCCCCTTTCTCACCCAAAGGACCACAGCGCAGGAAGAGTGCTTCTACTTCTTTGTCCAGAAATGGAATGAAAAACCAGCTGTGTTTGGGGAAAGTGTGACAGGATATGCCATTGTGCTCAAAAATGTGAGTTGGCTATGCTTGCCTCCCCAAAGAAGGTGAGCTTAGGACTAGGGATAGGTGAATCTGTCTGTTTCAGTTTTTCAAAGTTTCTCATTTTTTCCAGTATTCAATTCTTCACATTTCTTCATCAGTTTGCAATTTTTTTAAAAAAAAAATCCTCCTGGAGATTCAACAGCATTTAAGTGCATTTTTCTCCAAATGTCATCATTCTGGTATGCAATTTTGCCTAATGTACATATTTCTGCAAGCAATTTCCCCTAGTATAATGCATTTTTCTGTTTTGTTTTCACTAACACAAGCATTTATGCACATGTGCCCCTAATACATGCATTGTTGTGTACATTTTTCCATTAAAAACTCCACTGCCAAATTTGGAGAAGAGGAAATTTCAGAGGAAGTGATGCAGGTGGTCGAAACCACTGAGCCTAGGGCTTATCGATTGGAAGGTCAGCAATTCAAATCCCCGCAATGGGGTGAGCTCCCGTTGTTTGGTCCTAGCTCCTGCCCACCTAGCAGTTCAAAAGCACGTCAAAGTGCAAGTAGATAAATAGGTATCACTCTGGCAGGAACATAAACAGCGTTTCCGTGTGCTGCTCTGGTTTGCCAGAAGTGGCTTAGTCATGCTGGCCACATGATCCGGAAGTAGATAAATAGGTACTGCTCTGGTGGGAAGGTAAACGGTGTTTCCATGCACTGCTCTGGTTCGCCAGAAGTGGCTTAGTCATGCTGGCCACATGACCCAGAAGCTGTCTGCGGAAAAACGTCGGCTCCCTCGGCCTATAGAGCGAGATGAGCGCACAACCTCAGAATCGTCCGCGACTGGACTTAACGGTCAGGGGTACCTTTACCTTTTAAGTTTCAGAGGGCCCCTTTGTTTCAGTTCACAACGGATGATTTCAGGAGCTGCAAATTGAAGAGATTTGCCTTTACATGCAAAACTGAATCGAATTTCCCTCCCCCATCCTCAATGAGGAGGCCCACCCCCTTTTCCCCATCTCCGGTTTTATAAAGGATGTGAAAAGCACATGCAGTTTTCTGCAGAAAATTGTGAGACTTGTTACCTTTGGACTCTTCATATATTGCCATTGCTTTATTGTGACATTATGCGCCTTGCTAAATCTTAGAAAATGGCCAGTGAAAAGAACATGGGAGGAATGATTTTCTTTGCATTCAAAGATCTGGGAAATCTTAACCTCAGCCAGCATCTCATTTTTCTCTCTCTCCGGTTTGCTCCATTTCCAGTGAGGTGACCCCCTCCCTTACCTGGCTTAGCAGCAGCTTAAACTGAGGATACACCTATGGGAGAAAGCTCCTATCGTCATGGAAGATTTTACCCCAGACTGAAAAAGAGCCAGAATAAATTAAACCGAGTGAGGTTAGGCTAATGTGTATGAATTATGTATATGGGCTAATGGGATGGATGGCAGGGCATTACAAGGAAATTATTCCACAAAACATCTGCTGTCAGCATACATGATGGGAAATAAAACTGGACTCTGTGATGAATTAATTTCCTGCATCTCCATAGCCCGGTTCTTATTTTTATATAAAATCCCCCCAACAAGGTACAGAGTGATAAGGCTACCTAAGCTGGCCTTCCGAGTGAGGAAATTGCTAATATGAAAGCAAATCGGCAGCCTGATCTTCTGAGCCACTCTCTGTGCTGAAGCACTAGCAGATAGGATCTCCTGTCTGAAGGGTCCTGGTGCTGATGCAAAGGGACAGCTCAAAGAGGTCCGTGGTCCTGAAACATGGACAACAACTATCTCTGGCACTAGTGTACCAGTGTTTCTTTATTGTCTCTTTACTGCCGCTCCAGGGCCTCGGAATCTGCCTGAGGATTCCTGGGCCTGCGCCAGATGCTTCGTGGTTTGTGACATCATGAATGGCAAGCAGGTACTCGCTTATAGTCCAGCTCCTTTAAGGGAGTGTACATCCTGCCAACTTTTATTTGTGTATCAAACAGAGCAGCAGCCAGCAGCTCAGTTCTCTGTGGATGGAATTTGGTGAACCAAGTGCCTGCAGGAATATCTTCCGGTGGCTGAAAAGATACATATCTGAACATATTAAAGTGTGTGGAAAGAGCTTCCCTGCTCCATTCAGAACCTTCATCTAAATGGTGTTCCTGGTTTGTTTTTGATTTTGGGGTGTTTTTTTTAAGAATGTTGGTGAGCAAGCATAGTAATGGCAGACTCTCCAAGTGTCCCTAATTTCCAGAGAGAGTCCCGGATTTTCAGAAGCTGTCCCAGTTTCTGATTTGATCCTGGAATGTCTTGCTTTTCCTTAGGAAATCCCTATTATCACTGAAGAAACGTTGGAGTGTTTGGAGTTATGCGACCCCAGAGACAAGGAGAAGAAGGCAGCCCTGTATAGGGAAGTTTTTTTAATGTTTAATGTTTTGTTGTTTATAAAGTGGCATTTTGGTTGTAGAACATAACCTGTTACTAGCGGGGTATAAATAATAAAGTTGTTGTTGTTGTTACATAAAAGTAAAGGTAAAGGTACCCCGGACGACTCTGGGGTTGTGCGCTCATCTTGCTCTATAGGCCGAGGGATCCAGCGTTTGTCCACAGACAGCTTCCAGGTCATGTGGCCAGCATGACTAAGCCGCTTCTGGAGAACCAGAGCAGCGCATGGAAACGCCGTTTACCTTCCTGCTGGAGTGGTACCTATTTATCTACTTGCACTTTGACATCCTTTCGAACTGCCAGGTGGGCAGGAGCTGCGACCGAACAACGGGAGCTCACCCCACCACGGGGATTCGAACCGCCGACCTTCTGATCGGCAAACCCAAGAGGCTCAGTGGTTTAGACCACAGCACCACCCGCATCTGCTGTTGTTACATAGGATGTCTCTGTTTTCATTGGGGTATGTAATGGTTAGCCCAGCACTTCAGCAAACTGTGCCAAATAAAATGTATTCTCCAGCAGAAGTAGAGCATCAGATTCTCAGTCAGATGGTTCATGTTTCAAGCCCCCACTCAGACAGGTGAGGGGAAACTTGTTGTCTTTCTTGGAGGAAGCATCTGGAAGTTTCTTTTGCACTTTGCGGAGAGGCATTTGATTTCCCCAGAGGAACCACACCAGGTTTCTCTTTCACCAGCTGTCCAGCTCAGAAGCTGCAAGCCCAGGCCTCACACTGCCCCCTCCTCTGCTCAAATGAGCTACCAAATAAACAAGACCACACAGTTGAATGGGATTGAATCAGGCCACAACTTTATTGACTACAGATGAAGTGGTTTGGCATAGGCATTGGGTAAGCATTTATTTCCTGGGCAGCCTACCGGAAATGACATCCGGGTCAACCCGGCAGCGGGGATTCCTATGAATAACATCGTATAGGGGAATCCCCACAGGGACTGCTGCCTTTAGGCGTGCTGAGGTCCAAGCCCCCCATCTGGGCAAATGGACAGAAACAACTCAGTCACAGATCTCTTAAATGGAAAGTCCTATTTTTGGAGGAAAACACAAAGGTACAACCCACTCTCCAACCAAGGTTAAGGTTACCCAGTACCTAAACTGCCCAAATTGTGATGATTGCTATGAGGTAGGCAAAACCTCCAGGTCATAGCCAATTTGCCTGGTAGGCAAATTCCTACCCAGCCCCAAAAATATGGTGAGCACCACAGCAAGGTCAATTCAATGAGTAAAATTACAGGAGTGGGGGGGGGGGTTGATCAGACAAGGAAGAGCTGGGTGCCAGGGACTGGCGTGGGCTGAATTTAAAACCCCCAGAAGTGGGCCTGAGGGAAGTCTGATTGTTACCGTCTGGAATATAAATGACTAATTGGAAAACAGGCATAGAGGTACAGTGTAGATAGCCTGTTGTTTCAGGTCGTAAGACTTGTCTTTATAACTGAAGTGGTATTCTTTTTAAGAGGTATTCCTGTCATTTGATCTGGAGAGCTTTTAAAAAAATGGATTACATTGGAACAGAGCCAGAGGCTTTAAAGAACAATGCAAAAGTACTTTTAAGCCTGTCAAGATAGCACTTTTTGTGAGTTAGTTCAGTATGTACTGCTAAGCTTGAATTTATAATAAGGTGTCATGGGGTTAAACCTCTGTGAGGCTTTATTTTTAAATAACATCTGCATTAAGGGCTCCCTAAGTAAATAAAAAGCTTTCAGAAAGGTGCTACGTCCCCTGAGATGTCAAAACTCTCTCCACGTATTTTGATTAGTGAGGTCCATGCCTACCAGAAACCTACTCTATCTAAAGAACCAAGTGAGGAAATTTCCTTTCCTTTGTCACTAAGAAACTTGCCATGTGTTTGTTTCACTTCTTCTCCCTTGTCATGCTTTTGACCCATTTTAACCAGATCTAAACCCCTCCAGATAGATAGATAAACTTTATTCGCATTAGCCAACGGCCATAGCAACATAAAACAAGCAATATATACAATTAAAAAGACAACAATGGGTAAAAAGGACAACCAAATGATCAAGATTATCGTTCAGATAGTGGCCCTTAATCTCATTGCACCCTCGATAAACCTAGCAACCTTTGCTATTGTCTGATCATTTTGATCTGATAAAAGAAAGAACAATGTGGCCGCAGATGGGCGGCCTGGGATGGTAAGTAGGAGTGGGGTGATGATCTCATTCCTCAGATCTTTATAAAGGGGACAGGACAGGAGAACATGATCCACTGTTTCCAGATTACCATCTCCACAGGGGCAGAATCGTTTCTCAGTTGGAATCTTTTGGTATCTGCCCTCAAGTACGGCAGAGGGCATCACATCCAGTCTGGCCAGTGTGAAGGCACGTTTGTATTTTGGGATAGTTAATTTATACAAATATGGTGCCAGGGAATCAAACTGAGAAGGGGGGAAAAAGGCCTACCAAGGACCTACCAAAGTTTCACCTCAGATCGTATAAACCCCTCCAGTGACCCATCTTTGTCACCTCGACAACTTACATCTTTTATGGATGGCCCCAAAGGAGCATGAACATTAAGAGTGTCACCCTCAGTCAATTCATTTTCAAATCATTTCCTTCATTAATTCTCATCTCCATGGAAGGTAGGAAGCATTTTGATGTGAATCAATGCAGTATCACTTTTTAAGTGGTAATGAACCTTTGCATTTGAGAATCATATTTCAAGAGAATGAATGTGTGCGCGAGAGAGACAGCAAGCACTCTTCATTTATTATAATTTTGTAAAAAAAATGTTTTTTTAAGGGCATTGGTGCTCCCAAAGAACCAGGGACCATTAAAAAAGAAATCTCTTATACGCAAGCCCAAAAAGAGCTGCAGACAGATGAAAGGGTAGGCTTAAGATCAAACTTCCAAGTAGGCTATTGACAGCACATTAGATTTATATCCTGAAGGAGAACAGCATGGAAGTAAAGTTGCTCACTCAGGAAATCAATAGGCTAATATCCTTTCTAGTTTCACAGACTTTTTACCCCCTTGGGATCATGTTTTTAATTTCCCATATGTGCCCTGCAAACAGAAAGCGTTTGAAGTCCGGACCCCGTTGTCTCTTTAGAATATTTTCATTTCACACAGTGCAGTGACCTCTTCAAATGTATGGTCACATCTGGTCATATTCATTAGCGGCTGGTGCATAGAATGGGGCTTGGTCACATGACAGCTTCCAAATCAGCAGGTGTTTGTCTTGCCATTCTCCAAACACCCAGACAGCTTTATGACAATCAAGGGCAGATAGAGAGTTCAAAACAAGCTTTGAGAAAAGGAAGCCGCAGTATCCTAGCCAAGCCATTCAGTAAATGTCCGTTCCCTTTTCCATTCGGCTTTTGGAAGTAATGAAAGAACATATATTAAACATTTCCCACACAAAAAAAGTCTTTTCTCCAATTCAAAAGCATTTGATCTTTCATAAAGATAATAAAATTGAAGAGGGGGGCATCATCTAAATTAGAAGCTCCCCCATAAAATTCACAATAAGCCACTTCAAACCAAGGGACAATATTTCAAACCCCCCATTGCTTAGCAAATACCATAGACAGGGAACAGAGTAGCAGCTGATTATTCTGTGCCAGATTTGAGCAAAGATGGATCAAAATGTAACTGAACCTGCCTTGTGCTCTAAACTCTAGGAAGACAAAGCATATACCCAATTCAGATGGCGTACTGAATCATGGTTGTTTAATTTAACATACAATATGGCCCCCATATGTCCGGAATATCACGTACATATGTGGTATTTGTCCATTGGAAATAGCGTCTGGGTGGAATTTTCGAAAATCGGTAAAAATGTCCAGGAAAACCTGGGCAACGCATGTAGGAAGTGTTGATTTTCTGGCAAATTTCCTTAAAAACAACTTTCCCCCCCCCAAAAAAAAACCCCTCAACAACCTTGTAAAAAAAAAAAAGCTCAGAAATATTTATGGCAATTGTAATATACAAACTGCCACTACACTGAAGGTCATAAGGATGCAGATCACTGAAGACAGGCTATCCATGTATGATAGGAACTGCTGTACTGGGAGAAAGGATCTACATTGACTTTCAGTACATTTCTGAGCACAAGTCGAAGCGCTGGTGCCAACTTTTAAAGCCCTAAACAGCTTTGAAGGAGCATCTCCACCTCAAGGACTGTCTCCACCCACATCGCTCAGCCCAGACACTGAGGTCCAGCCCTGAGGGCCTTCTGGCAGTTCCCTCACTGCAAGAAGTGAGGTTACAGGGAACCAGGCAGAGGGCCTTCTCGGCAGTGGTGCCCTCCCTGTGGAATGCCCTCCCATCAGATGTCAAGGAGATAAATAACTACAGTGGTACCTTGAGTTACAAACTTAATTCATTCCGGAGGTCCATTCTTAATCCAAAACCGTTCTTAACCTGAGCTGCACTTTCGCTAA